GTCTGTCTGTCTGTCTGTCTGTCTGTCTGTCTGTCTGTCTGTCTGTCTGTCTGTCTGTGGACAAAATTACTCAAAAACTTGTGGATGGATTGTCATGACTTTTTTAGCATATGTGGGTATTGGCCAAAGGAACACACCATTACATTTTGGTGATGTTCTGGATCACGTTGCTGGTACAGGAATTTTTCTTTTAATTCGAGCGAATCAGCCAAGCTACGCAAAGTGTCATTACATTGGACACGTCTGTAGGAAACAGGAAGTACAAGTTGCAAACTCACTGGGACTACACATCCCAGGATGTCTACTATCAGGAAAGTTGTGATTATTCTGTTATAAACTAGTATTGGCGATGTTACATGCCGTCTGGAGACGTAGAGAAATAAATGCGATTCTCTTCACGTTACGGGAATAACAGAAGACACCGACAGCAGGGGAGGGTCCTGCTGTAGTCCAGCCAAAGCTGGTACCAGACAGCAGGAACAGCTGATCAACCATGTGAGGTACCCCCTCCACCTAAGAACTTTATTGTGTGATTGGTCAGAAGTTCGTGGGAGTGTTTGTTTGTGCTGAAAGTGCTCAAACGCTGTATTTTGCTTCAACCACTCGCTTCAAAAAAAAAAGGCGACTCGCTTCCAGAGCGACTTTACCAGGAAGCAGCAGTTTATAAAGATATTCAAACCACTAAAAACTCACAAAAGGGGATAAAACAGACGTTTTACACAGTGGAATCTGACTGATGAAAATTTAGGAGCTGAACCTTGGACTAGTTTGACGATGAATAACGTCGGGTGACAAGTCAGACTTTTTTCGCATTGGACTCAACCGGGAAGAAATCCCGTGCATACTGACTAGTTAAATGTTCACTATGTCAGAACTTATTCAGCATGTGTGTTTCCATCTCTCCTTTTGCACATTAACTCCATTGCGGGATGCGGGAAATTCGCCTTGGTGGAGGTTTGCACTCTCCGAGTGCTTCTAGATTTATACATAAAATCTTTTCAAAACGCAGCAAATAATTACTACAATTAGATTACCTGAGTTTGTGTTGTTATTACAACAAGATTTTACCTCAGTATCTTTTAATTTTACTGAGTTATGAGCATTTTCTGTTTAAGATGAATTAGCTGTGGCAGCCATCTTGAATTGATTGATTGTCAGTGATCCCTATCTTACATGTCTAAGACCACCCAACTTTGAACTCTGCCATTTTTTTTCTTAATTTGTGAATTGTAGGAAAGCTTTTTCAGATTTGGGCCCCTACTTTGATCAGATCTGGTACAAAATAAATATTGAATAAAATGCCTCTAGCAACAAACTATCCTAGTATTTCCTCGTGATGCAATAACTTGATGCCGAGATAAGATAAGGAACTCTATTCTCTGCTTCTGGTGTCATTACTTCCTGAATCCTCCTGGGGGGTGATGAACACATATGTGGGAGAATCTTGACCATATTTTGTATTAGTAGCTGAACAGAAAGAGAAAAGTTTTTTTTAATGATTGTACATCATTTGGAAAAAGAAACACACCAGAGAAGCTGAGTGCACACACTCCTCTCTGATGAAAGCCTTTCAGCAAAGACAGACACTTCAGAGTCTGGATGTCCCATACATGGATGGCCGGGTCCCTCCCCACCTGCAGACACAACACACCTGATCAGGTATGACAATCTTTGAGTAACACTGATCATAGCTTCAACCTATAAAATGCAGAAAACAGTCAAACACAACAGTTAGGAATAAGGAAAATGTGATTAAAATTAGAAATGAACACATTTGCACCGTGTAGCCCTGATAGGAACGATCCTCAACGATCTTCAACAACAGTCTGTAGGACTATGGCCTGGATTAGATGTCAAAACTCAATCAACTAGAGCAGGGGTGTCAAACTCCAGTCCTCGAGGGCCGCTATCCTGCATGTTTTAGAGGTTTTCTTGCTCCAACACACCTGATTTTGATCGCTGGGTGATTAACAGGCTTCTGCCCAATTTGAAGAGTTAATTCAATCACTGAATCAGGTGTGTTGGAGCTGGAAAAACTCTAAAACATGCAGGATAGCGGCCCTCGAGGACTGGAGTTTGACACCCCTGAACTAGAGGGAGTTGATGAACTGTAGACAGGTATGGGAACTGATAAATTTGGGAAAGCTCTCATCGCCCTGAGACGGACTGGCGAATAAGTCCACCGGGAGTGTTCCCAGTGGGCCGATGGGCTGCTGGCGGTTCACCCCGTGGAGATGCTGCTACGCTCGCCACGTGGCCACACAGTACACTCTTGTTTTGCAGTGCCACAAGGCTTCTAACGGGCCAGCTGTGGAGTGAACTTCTACACATGACAGAGCACTACTGTTCTTCTAACGAGGCGGAGTGGCTACGATCAGAAAACTTGTCCCATAAAGCCCAGCCTATGACAAGAAATCAGCTCTGTGGTGCTTACTAATAACTCTGCCCCACCCTACCTCTCCGAGCTTCTCCACCCCTATGCCCCTGCTTGGTATCTCCGGTCAGCTGATCAGTTGCACCTTAAAGTACCAAGGACAAAGCAAACCCTCAGAGGGAATCGAACATTTTCAGTTGCTGCTCCGAAGCTCTGGAATGAGCTACACCTACACGTCAGGCAGGCCCCCTCATTGTCTGTTTTTAAAACACATCTTAAAACTTATTCCTATTCACTGGCTTTTAACCCAGCGTGAGATCTTGGTCTGTTTTAGCTGTTTTTGCTTGTTTTTACTGGTTTTTAT